CAAGTCGGCCATTGTTTCGGACACGCACTTTGAACATGTATTGGACGCGAGCGTTGCGCCGCCGTTCGGCTAGGACTCTGATCTAATCACACTCTTGGCGCACACACGGAATGGTGATCACAAACGTTGCCCGAGTGGATTTTGAAAAGGGTCTATTGACACCCAATCCCCGTCAGGTGTTTCCCCCAGTTCACGTTTCCTGTTTCCTTTCAAGACATCAGAGATATCATATTGCTAACTGTGAGCACACATTAGTGCCTTTCGAATGTCAAAATCGTGGTGTTTGGTAACATTAAAAAGATACTGAATATTCGCCGCCAAGGTAGTGTTGTAGGCGTTACCAAAAGAAAAAAAAAAAGAGAGAAAGGAACTTTACTCGTTAATTGCAAAGAAAAGAAACGCGCTACAGACCTACGTTACCTCAAAATGAATGGAACGGCTTACCGTTACCATTACCTTTACTTATAAAAAATAACGCAGGTTACGTTTGCGTAACTTATTATTTATAAATTAAAAGGTTTACTGTTTTGACGTAACAAGTCGGCATACGCGCCCTATCTAGAATAAAAACATTATGTCCATGCAGACGTAATTTACCTTATCTTTCTTACGGTTAAACACACATATAATGAGTGCATGAATTCTTATCACTTGGCGCCTAAAAACACGAAAAAATTGTAGTGTAATTAGTGACGCGTTACCGCCTACACTGCACATAACTGGTTCGCTGTTGACCTTTGAGCATCCCGCGATCACCGGATATACCACTCCGGAAGCCAGAGCCTCTTAATGTTCGTTAACCAAAAAAAGAACAAAAACCTTTCAAGTAAATCTTTAAAGGTCAAAATATGGACCGCATCGTTGGACCTCAACTCCTCTCCGGCCGGACAGACGATCCGTCACACAAAGGAGCGGCAGCGGATAAACGTGGGAGCTTACTTTCTCATCCTTCAAAAAAGGCCCGAGAATCTCGAGGCTTCATCCACGCCAGCACAGCATCAGGAAACCGAGGCGACGATGAAGCATACATCATCTCAGTGCAGCCGCAATCTCAAACCGTACAGGAAAATAAGAAAACAAAAACAAATTAAAGAAGTTGCTGGTATAATACCTCCTTAATCACTCAAACCGAACGGATTAAAATTTGCACTTCCCCGGCGCACCACACTCGTCTATAAAACCAGGACCTCAAACCCGAACCATTAGACACAACATAAAACCAAAATGGAGGCGGGGGAAAGAAAAACAACAAAAAAACGTGCATCCCAGCGCGAGCCCGCGGTGTCGTATATACGTCTTGTGTGCTATAGCCGGATGATAGAAGCGTCGCGCTCGTGCGCCGACAGTTCCCGGAGGGACCCGGGCCTCAAAAAATAACGCGTAGCAGAGAGCCACGTCGTCGTGTTCGGCCCAGCCGAGGCCACAAGGAGCTCCAGCCTGTTGCTCGGCTTCGCCGCAGTGCCCGCGCTTGCTCGCGTAAGCCATACGCGGCAGCGAATTAATTATCATCCATCACCCACCGCCGTGGTGGTCATGATGCATGGACCGGCCAAGTCGACCCTATTATTTACGGGGGCTTCTTCGTACGCTAGGGTTTATTATACGAGCCCCGTATTTTGTCTTTGTGTCCTTCTTTTGTCGGTGCGTTTCGACCCGGGTGGATCTTAGCCTGGTTGTTTCTGTCACTTTTTTGTGGATCGTCACAAAGGTGACGATAGCTATAGTTTGGAGTTATGGAGAGAAGCAGGAAGCAATCGTTACGGGTATACTGGGTCAAAGCAAGGAAAGTATGAAAGGAAAAGAGAACTGGGGGGGGCGGGGGGGGGGGGGTATTTTTTGTGACGACAAAAATAAAGCGCGGAAAACAGAGGCTCGGTCTGCGATCAAAATGTGGCGTAAACGATTGTGAAAACATTTCGAAGTTTGAGAACTTTGGAAACAATATCCCTCGTTTTTCTGCCCTTTTTGTACCGTCGATACTTTCCTTTCAAAACGCCAGCTGGGATCTCGCACTATCTTTATCGCGTTTCCCGAAAATCGTGTTTCCCGAATGCCCACATGTGTAAAAACCTCAGCTCTCGGGTCAGGTGGCGTGTTGTGCGGTGAAGAGACGCTAAATGTCAGGTTGCGACGTAGGAACTCAACTTCAATCATTTGTTTTTCTCACTTAAGAAAAAAATTATTTTCATTAAAGTTTCAGAAATGAAAGGCAATAAACCCTTCTTCTAAAGTCGCTATTTTTGTTATTTGTTCTTGCACCACCTCAGGGTAGATTAAACGGCTATGTAGGCAGCAAAACAAACTTTTTCATTACTTTATAATTTTTTTTCTGCTAAGTATTTTGTTGTAGGGCTTCATACATCTTTAATTTTTATTAAATCTAAAGGGCATCCAATATAAAAAAGATTATAATTGTCAGAAGCAAATCAACAATTAAATCAACAATTAAAAATAAAAAGATGCAATTTTTTTTGTTAAATTTTAAACGTATTTCAACAATACAATGGTCATAATTATCACAACATAGCAAGCTAAAAGCCATTCGATTTTCATTAAACAAATTTTGAGTCGTTAAATAAACATTTTTAATCAATTACTGAATGACTGATTTTACGCCAAATTTAAAAATTAAAACCACGCTCACGCCCTAGAAAAAAAAAAATATGCTCGACAAAAATATTTTAGGAAAAGGTTAAGAACCTTGGGGCAAAAATCCATTAACTTTTCTTTTAAAAATCTGAAACGGCCGAGCGCAACGCCTGGGCCGTTTGGCATGAAATGCCCCTAAAGGCTATATTATAGTACACAAGACCTAGCCAAAGCCAACATGGTTTCCCACGGTTCGTATTGCCCAGCTGTTTAGTTCCCATGCGTAAACGTTTTACGTACCTTTTTCCCCATTGTTTTATCCTGGCTTCAAAATGGCCGACGTAAGCCACTCGGAAAGCAAATTGCCTAGTTTAGGCGAACGTTATGAAATGCGTTGCGCTGGAAAAAGTTAATGGCTGCAGGTAAAACGGTGCAGTATTGATGGTGTGCGCGTGTTGTGCTCTTCTTTCGAGTACTTCCATAGCTCGGGCTCTTCGCCTTTTACGTGTGACGTTGCTATTCGCATATTATTAGCGGAAATAATCCCCCACAAGTCCGCTGTATTTAAACTCTCACCTCATGGCTCGCTTTTATTTATTTTTTTGTAATATTTCACTTTTATTGTCAATCGTACAGAGCAGAGAGTGAGCATGATCTTATTGGCTAACATATTTGTTAATTTATTTTGATAAAAGTGAGGAAAACAATATAGGATAACATTTTAGTTGGGGCGGGTCAGTTCCAAGGTACTCGATAACTAGTCTCACCGCTATAGGCTCCAGAAGCTGATATCTTTATTGCATTTTCAGGTTACGTGCATATACCAGTGAGGAACATCGTCGTTAAATTGTTTCCGCCTCTCTCAACAATTTGGTCTCATCTGCCATCCTTTACCTTTGCCGTTTTCGTTGTCTTTGCGTTCTCATTTTACGTTTTATATTTTTGGATTTTTTGTTTCTGTCGTGCGGATTTTCCTTTGAAATAGATAAGAGAACAGCAGCTGACGTATTAAGTAAGAGCGTTTTTTATATGACAGTTATTCTGAATGGTATCTCTGTACGCCAGAAAGCCTAATGAAGAAAGATTGCAACCATATTGGACCTAAAACAAATTTCCTCTTGACTCCAGAATTTTTTCTTTCTTTTGCTAGTCACAGTACAAGAACATTTATTGCGGTTGTTAAGCAGTATTTCGCCAAAACAAAGGGTCCTTGCCTTTTATTGCTCTGTAACGCTATGTTGTTTGAAGCACGTGTATGAGGAACAAGGCTACTGACCCTGTCGCGGCATTTCGGTGAACCGAGATCACCTCTGGCGTCGGAGTTTTCGTGCGAAATAGACAGGAAATTCGATTTCGATCACCTGTCAACGTTCTCCCTTAGAATGCGCGTGTTATCAAGTGTGGCAGCGAACATCAGACAGTGAGTGTAATTAAAAAATTTATAGTTTACGTTGAATAGAATATGACGGTATAATTACGGCAATGCGCTTTTGTAACCGAGAAACTTTCCCTGGTCCGGGTATCGAACCCGGGACCTCTCCATTTCCATTCGAGGTTAATGTTAGTATTCCATGTTGTTTTTGTACACCGTTATGTAATGCTTTGGGCCTGAAAGGTGTATGATAAATAAACATGCATTTAGAAGTATTCGTCAAAGAAATTCAAAGTCTATGGTTAATATTTCACGCACTTAGCTATCATATTGTGACCTCGCTGTTTCTATACACATATAACTGCCTCATTGTGTCCGAACCAGTACAGATAATTAATGTAATAGTAATGAAAGCTGTAGATTTGAGAGTGCATATCCAGGGAACTGGCGCTCCGACACTTTTAAGCTCATTCTTTCTGACCCACATCATATACATTTCTCTAGGGTTTTTATTTGACCCAAAATACACATTTCTCTCTCTCTCTCAGCTAATTAATTTTTTAACCTTCAGTAACAACTGTTCCCGAGAATGATAATGAAGAGATTATGAGTGAGTGATATAGTGAGTGAGTGAGTGAGTTAGTTTGTTGAAGAAATAAGAAGGAAAATACGGGAAATAAAGAGAATATGCTTATTACCATTTAAATATGCAGTTCGGAAGCCGCTTGCTGGAAACGGTTGCCAAATACTGGTTTGAAAATAAATTTTAAAAAAACCCTGGGTAAATTTTTGGAGGTATCGCACGTAGTCTCGTATTACAACAGCCAGCCGACACATTTTCAATGTAGATTAAAAAAAGAAAGAAAAGAAGTGAAGGTTTGCGCGGCTTAGACCGGTTTTGAAAAGGAAGTGAAATTACGCTTGGGAATTCGCCGCCAAGGTTTTCTGTGGAATTATGCCTTTCGACACGTTCCACAATTTTCGCTCTGGCGGAACGTGAAGATATCCGCGGAACGCCATGTTTACCATACTACATTCGTTAGTGTTAAAATAGTATTCACTTTATTGTGCGCATACATTTGACACCCGTCTTTGCAGAAATCACAGCTTACCCTACCCTCGTTGACGGGTATGAAATAGGAACAAGAACATGAGGTGGCGTAGATAAATAAGCAAACAAAAAATAAAAGTAAGGGAGAAATATAAGGAGTGAAAAAAGCTCATGCGGTCCTCGTTTCAAACTTTTCGAAATTTACCCCTCTAGCAATACTCGATTGTTCACATGGTTTGACGCAGAGTTGTAAATTTATCGGCAAACACTAGAAGTGGAGAATCTTAATCAATATATTATCCACATTGAATAGCTTCGCTATAAAGCAAAACAAAAAAACTATAAATGTACGAGCACAAAAGCACCTGGCACGCGGCTATTACACAGATGGGGAGGTACAAAGCCGTATACACTCAAGGTTCCACCTCACACAGCGATAACCGCGCACACTACAGGTGCATTACCGTTACACGCGGTTTCTTTGTTTTTTTTTCCCCAATAAACTTTATTTTTAATGTTTAAGAATGAGTGAAACGACCGGCACCCGCTGAATTATAAAGAAGGGTCAACACGTGGCTAACCCCAGCGGCAGGAACAAGCCCCAGTGCAAGGGTCACTTTGGTATATGCATGTTGTATCCTCGGTGGCTTTCGCGCCTGGGCAGCACGGCAAACACCGTCACGCGCGCTGGACCGCGGGAAACTCCAGTCACGCGACACACGTCTCGCCTCTCACACGTCTTGTCCGACACTTGCACCGGCGGGTCAACCGCGGCACGATCCTACGCAAAGGCACGATCCTCTTTAGCCTCAGTTGCTCCTCTCACACATCACACAAAGGACATGATGTTCGCTGGGAACACGATGACAGTACGATGTGCGACAGCACACATCACGTATGTTCGAAACACGTTTGCTTCATGCGTATGTATGCTTAGAACATGTCTGCAAACAGTTCTAAGCGTACATACGTCTGCAGGTTAGCAGTGGGATGGCGGCTTTCTGCCTTGTCGTCCGGTCGTCACCGGTGGAAGAAGTGGCAGAAGACCCTCACGTCTAGCTCCTTGGCAAGCTCGTCGGACACGTCGTACAGGTCCACGTCGGTGAAGATGTGGACCGATGAGTTTGCGCCGTTTCTGAAGCCGTTCCGCCTGCCCTTGTCGAGGAGGCGCCCGACGTCCCTGACCATGAGGTCGAGGGACGGCGCCGCGGCCGCGCCGTCTTCCTTCTCCGGCCGGTACACCAGAAACTCGCGGTCGACCATGCACACGACGAGTCGGCCGGGCCTCTTGGAAAAGAAGAGCTCCTCGAGCAGATCCTGGCGAAGCAGGCGGATGTAAACTTCGCCGGGGTTCTGGGGATCTTCGAAGAACTCCATCGCAGACGCGATCCGGCGTGTATGGGTAGAGCTGCGGCGATGCTGACGGCGGGGCAATACGAGCGCAGTGTATACCGTCCGGAGCCGCTACAACGCTGCCGGCACAGATAGGCGCGGTGCGGGCGGTTTATGCAACTGCAGCGTTGCACTCGCGGTAAGGCACACCGATACACTCCAACTGCGCTGCTAGACTCGCCGAAGGTCGTGCGGCGCTGCGGGATCCTCAGCAGGTGTTCGAGTTACACGTGGCGGGGCTCGGTGTTCTGGCTGCAACGTGCGCTCTCGTTCTGCCCGCTGGACGCTGGCCGACGGCTCGATAGCTTCCCGTGATATGGCGGCGCGCTCCGCGCCGCACTTTGTGAGACCTCTATAAGCGTGTTCTTTATCGGGGAGGAAACGCGGCTTTATTGCGGTCGACGACGTCAGCTCCGACAACGCTCTTCTTTTTTTTCCGCTTTCCGTTCCAGTTAGTCGTACCTTTCCCTCTCTCTCTCTTTTTCTCTCTTCGTTTTCTTTTTTTTTTTTCCTTGGTGCATGTCCAACTTTCTGACGGCTCTCGGTCTTTCCTTCGTTAGGAGTTATCAGTATCAAAGTTCGACGAGGAAACACTTCGCTGCTTTCTGTCGCTTCTTCGCGAAGTCCGCCGTTGGTTTCATCAATGGCTCGTCAAAGTTTCCGCGTGATGACAACACTGCGAATAATTATGCCGTCATCTTAAAATCAGACACGCACTGATAATACTTTAAATAATCGAAGAATCGTACAGTAGTGTTGGCGTTATTTTCTTTTTATTTAATTCGGTCAAGGCTTACCAATCACTGACGACAATATCATTCATTCATTTTCAGTATCTACAACAGCTTGACGCCTCCTTAGTGGTGCATTTTCCAACTCCTCTTGAACTAATATAAAAACATTATAACCATTTCAAATCAGAATTCGCAAAAAAAAAAGGTAAGCAAAATAATGTTTTGAATGTTACATCTGAGGCTCAGCGTATTGGTCCTGCATTGTAAGAGCCGAGTTTCATATGACGCCGCCAAAAACAAATATTGCCTCCGGGGCCTAGGCCATTGCCAAAAAGCCCCACGTAAGCGACTCCAGGAAGCACATAGACTAGTTCATTGCACGTACGTGAAAACGGTAATCAAACGCGACTTCTCTCTAAAACCGGGCAGGTCGCTCCTCTTTGTTTATAAGAAATTGAATAAGGAAACCGTGCAGCTCTGTTGAATTATAAACGTCTTTCGGATCAGCGTTTACCCTTGAGAAGGACGCGGGAAAGGATAACCGGGGCAGCCGAGCCGGTTTCTTGTTACACCGCTTTTCCGGGAGCTCGGTACCATTAATCTTTCAACTCGGCAAACAAAACGATGTAGTGTACAAAAATCGTTAAAAAAATATATATTTCAATTTACGGAATCGTCCAGTCGCGCTCCAGTCTCGAAAGATAGCTCCACTCTTCGGCGCCCATGGGTCCCACAGATACACCCGCACGGTCCAACGCAGCCACGAGATCAGTCGCCGAATCCCCGTCACGCAAACTCGCGTACCTCACAACAAACTTGTCAAAGACACGACCGAACTGCTGCGCCTGCGTCAAGAGGTCGCTTGAACACAGTTCTGAAAAACTGGGAAATCGACTGGCGTAGATTTCGAGCGAACAGTGCTCGAGGACGTAACCCTCGGTGAGCAAGAACATGACCAGGTCGATTGCCACCAGCTGTCCAACACTGCCACCCTCTTGTCGGTGCCTAAACACGCGCTGGGCCACGACCCTGTCGAACCACTTCGCGATGCCGATGAAAACAATGCAGTCGGGTTCGTTGTCGCGGTTAAGTAGGCCTTCTCGGTAAGCTGCAACGTCTCGGGTTGTCGGAAATTCGTAATCGTCCAAAGTGATCGCCTCCAGCATTGTGGCTTCCTCACGCACGCGTTGAGTTTCTTCCTCCAGGGACGCTCTCGGTTCTTGCCGTCCGAACGCCGCCTCCTGAACCAGTCCGGCAAACTTGGCGGCGGCGTGTTGTGGTCCTGCAGTCCGTCTGGAGCGCTCTGAAAGGTTTAATTAGGGTTAATGCCAGAGCGCGCGCGCAATGCGCAACTTAAACGTAGTTGTCAATGCCACGCTGCTTAAACTGATATATTGTCTTCGGCCGCGCCGCGGTTATTCCTTCTGGATTGCCGAAGGAGAGGATTCGAGCGTGTAGTTGGAGGGCTATTTCTTCTGACGGTTGATTACGCGCAAATCGCTCGATAAAATGTTGTTTATTCTGCCCGGCTTCTGAGCCGCGCGAAAGGCAAAGTGAGGGGACTATTTTTGATAGATGTTTGCAGACTGATTTATGGGGTATTACGAAAGTGGCGCAGTGAGCGGTGGCGTTGTTTGGTGCGTGCGCCGGTAAGAAAAGCGCAGTCTGAGAAGCGTGGTCTGATTCGGTCCCATCTTTTCTCTTTCATTGCCTTAGGGGACTTCGGCACGCGACAGTGACTCGAATGAATAAAAAAGAAAGCAAAATGTATCGTTGCCTCGAGTTCTGTATGTACCTTTGTACGTCATCATCTTGAATTATTATATAGACCCTCGACGTTCATTTTGTGTATTATACGCACGTCGGTCGTATTAAAGTTCTCCCGTCGACACGCTATGGGGAATGTTATTCTTTTTCCAGATATATTTTTTTTTCGTTCCTTTTTTTGGTTTTCATCGCTACTTTAATATTCATTAAATGTCACCATGGAGCTTCGGGCCGATTTCCCAGTATTAAAAAAAGTTGATCCGATAGCGGGGGCCGGCACCTCCGCCCTCATTTCAGCAGTGATCCATAGAGCAAACTATCGAAGTTGACAGACACCGTCACAGGTCGATATTTCGTGCTCAGAGAGGATTTTCTTCCACAACGTCAATAAATGAAAAAAAAAAAACTACATTTTTGTTTTAATTACGAGTGCAAGCCGTGTGCGGGCTAAATGGCCGCAGTAAGAATAGACCATTCCAATACACGCGGAGGTCTCAAGTTTCAAATAATGCTCCTGGCGCGGAGAACCGAATAGTGTTCCGCTCCGCTTACGACGCTATAAAAGAAAATAAGGACAACAAAGCTAAAATAACTACAATCTTATTGTTTTGATAGGACACCAAAGCAGCAAGCTGCACTCTTTTTTTTTTTTTCAATTCATTTTTTAGCCATTAGGAGGCTAGGACGATAGCCTTTCATCTAGGACATATGCTGGTATATGATCGTGACACATGCATAATCGGATGCTACATCGCCACGTTTATGGCCGCGTTTTGCGACCACCGAAGCGCCTGTTTATGCCAGCATTATGTGGTCACGTCTTGCGTAGCCTTGCGAACGCGTTCGCGTCCCTTGGTCAAGAGAAACGGACCTATAATGGCCTTTTTTGGGCCCTGCCCTATTTGCCCACTGAACCGTGGAAGGCGCTCTGAGCGTGAGCAGAAGTTCTGTTCCGCGGATTTTTTTGCGCATGCGTCCCCATTCCAATGACTCGGCATTTTTCCACCGGCTGATAAGCAATGAAAACTTGAAAAGATATATATTTCGCTTCTCGTCCTACTCAATAGACTACAACAGGCCGCCAGGTCCAGTCCTGAGTCACTCAGAAGCAACGTGGCATATATTGCTTCGATCTGCGTATGGAATGGGAGCACTGCCAGGCAATAGAGACCCTTTTGAATAAAGTCCCTTGACACTTCTTTTACAAGTAACGACAACTAATACAAATGACAAAACGAATTACGCTGGAACAAAATGGCGGCATTCAGTTCAAAGCTCTGCTGTGTGCCGCCATTCGCTTCCTAAAACCCGCACCGTCACGCAGTCGGCGCTTCGAAGAATGTCGTATACTTGTAGGAAGCTCGTATCTAGGGACTTGACTTTCGAAATACTGCCCTTTGTTGGCAGCTCTGAAATCCCTGCACAATGGCGGACTATAACAAGCGTTGCTCGATCAATTCAGTTGGTAAACTTCCACGGACGGAGAGCGTGATCCCTTCTAAGACGTGCGCTGACACACGTCAGTTTCCGTTGATAACCCCTAGATTCGGAAATGCCGTTTGAAGCGTCATCCCTCTTGCCCGCTGCGGCCGTGTGCCGTGTTTCGAACTGTTGTTGCAAGACGCGCCGCAACGAACGAGACGGTAGGCGCTTCGAACAGGGTTAGCCCGCCTGGTGGGGTACGGGAAGGGATCCCGCTCTTCGGGGGGAGTTTGCCAACTGAGTTGAACAAGGAACGTTGACGAAAACGTCAACGTTACGGCGCACTGGGAAAAACGCACCCACAGAAAAAGGTGATGAGCCTAGTGACGTTGCACTTTCGAGGCTGTTTGATTGGCTCGTCGGCTCGTATAGTGTTGGCCGCGCTCCGACATTTGATATTTTATGGAATGAGTTGCACGTTTCTCGGTGCTGTTGTTCCGCCATTGTGCAGTGGTTCCGACCCTTTAATAATCGGCACGTGACTTTCATAAGGGTCTATACCACATAACGTCTAACTGGCTCGCGATTGGGCATTGCGGCCAGGAGCTTTGGCTGTAGTTAACGGTAGAGTGAAAGTGCATAAATCGTTTTTTTTTTTTTTTTTTTACTCAATCAGGAGAAGTGTAAAGAGTGTAGTGGTAGTGGAAAGACACTGTAATTGCAGCAGACATGATCAGGACCGTCATACAAAGACAGTTTGACGACACCGCCTCAGACGGTGTCTCCAGATTGTCCTATGTATGAGGAGGAGGACAAAACATATTTATTAAGCGTTTTACGCTGTCGGGTGGATCCTCAATTCAGGTACCCATGTGCCGTCCTGGCTCTGTTTTAGCGGCATAACCCCGGCCTTGCAGAAAGAATGAAAGGAGGAAAACGCCAATAAAATGGTGTTCGCAAGAAAAAAAAAGAAATAGTTGATCACGTTGCACACACCACGTGCTCAGAACGAGCTCCCACTTCTCGACTGCCGAGAAAATTCTCGATGTTCGTGGTACGCATGTTGCGAATCGTTGCGTAAGCCCGCAGTCAACACTCGCTTAGCAGGAACGAACGTAGCTAAAACCCTCCCGAGGAGTGAGAAACTTGTGGGTTGACATCTCAGCACCGGACGCTCATCGTATCACCGTGTAGCCGACAAATTCAGCCTTCGAGTGAGACCACGAATTCTAAGTTTGAAGGTAATTTTCGAGTTGATTGCCACGCAGTGTACTGGGTGCGGGCACTTCGACCTGTGGTTTCTGGTGCCTCGGGCGCAATCGATGCTTTAAGACAGTAGCATTATTAGCATTATTATCAGCAGCATTTAGAATTTAGTGCGGCAGCGACTACAGTCCTTTAGATCATGCGAGGGGGAGGAGGGGGGGGGTGTTTGTTGTAACATATAAAGCTTACGTATGCGTAGACTTCGCTTCACTATCATACACTGTCACGCTCGTTTTGCGCATCCCTATTTGCGGCTCAGACGAGAGAACAGTGGTATGCAGAGAATTAAACTTTCTCATAACGTACTCCAGCGTTCGTACAACTAATAACAACTGCTGAGAATGGACCTTTTCCAGTAACGAACAACGTCTGGGAGGTCGCCTGCGATATGCAAACGAGGCTGCACAACGTTCACCAACCCGTCAGAACACACTGGCGTCGTGCCGATGCGTCGATTGTCGCTGCCTTTTTTTTTTTTTTTTGCTCCCCGATGTTTAATAAAAATTGTCGAAAAAAATAACGAAATAAGCCCAAAGATAAGTGCTGACAGCATTGATGGCGTGCTAGGGTGCCCTCCGGAAATGGCTTCTGTAATCAGAAGCAAGATTCAGGGGAAAGGGTGCACGTATGCGTAGAGTCTTACTGAAAAGGCGGTCAATGGTCTGAAACTTAACTCCATCACGTCTCATGGGATGTTGACTTCTTGGGTTATGATGGAGTATTCCGGGTGGGAACAACAGTTAGAGCTGCACACGATCGCGAACAAACGGTACGTGTTGCATTTTCAAGGTTATAACGTCGATGGCGCATCTTGTGTACGTCCTTGAGTAAATTTTTTTGATGGCTTCCAATAAAAATCGGGCATCCAAAAACAAAACTGGCAACGTAGAAAATACGGGTCATCTCGAACATATCGTACCCTAGTACACCCAGAGGTTCAGTAAAGGTTCGTGGATTCAACGACAAGATGAAAATGGCGGATAGGTCATTCACTGGTCCCTCCTCAAGCGCGATGTTCCTACCTTCGATAAGATATCGGCGTTTTGTGAGCCGGTGCAGGGTGACAAGCGCGTACTGAAGGCATTCGAAGGAGACGCACTGCATGCGGTTCTCATTCTCGCGGTGATTATACTCATACTCACACGAAAAACGAAAGGCTTCTTGGCGGTGGGAGGAAGAATCGGTCCGAATAGAAATGTATCTGGGCACGATCGATGCCAAAACAGAAGTGAATCTTAGTGTGCATGCGCGATACTATTGCTGATAACGTTCCACTCGCTCGGCTCGGAATGATCGACGTAATTCTTCCGCCGTAGCGACAGTGGAATGCTGCCTCATGGCTGCTGTGCCTCTCTGCCGCCGTAAATCTCATCTGTTCAGTCGTTTACTGTAAAGCTGCAAAATCTGCTTCAGCTTTTCGAAACGTCGTGCGAAAGGGATGACACAGTGTGCAGACGCGTTTTAATGAACTGGTGTGCGTTTCTACACTCAGATAACATGTTGTAATCTCATCGTGATCTTTATAGTGGTTGGGGTCTCTGAAGTGTGCAGAACGCGCGTAACCTTGTTAAAATGGTACAGGTAGATTGACTCCAATGAGACGTTCCACCGATCCGCTTCGGACTGCTTAATATGTTGGCCTAAAAATTCTGCGAGTTTCTTAAGCGGATGCGGACAAAGGACTGTGTTTACATTAGCGCATATTTGTCGTTATGCAGCTGGGTTTGACAAATACCGACGGCATTTTTAGTGCGATCGCGAAAAACGTTCGAATCACGCGGCTGGCAAATCATAAAGCTGTACAAGCAGGTTAGAAATTGTTTCGTGTGAGGTGCCAATGGGACGACTGTTGGTTACCATTTAAAAATTAGCAAGTCATAATCTGCACCTTCAAAAAGTAAACAAATCCGAAAAAGGTAAGCAATAAAAATATTTGGTAAAAACCTTATTTGGCTAACGTTAACCCACACGCAGGCGCACGCACGTACGAACGCACGTGTGCAGGCACGCACATATACGCGCACGTGCACGCGCGCACACGCACGCATACACACACACAAGAAAAAGAATCTTGATTATGCGGTTCTTTGAAGCTTGAATCGGCAAAACGTTTAATTTATTATGTCAGCTAACACACATCAATGTTTGTCGCTCTAGTAAGGCAAGGCGCTTGTCGCATACATGGGTAGATATCGAAAGCACAGAGTGCGTCCTTACCTTGAGAATGCGTAAATCCTTGGAAGGCGATTCGATAGCTGCCCGTGGCGTGCGCTGGGAGACCAGTTGTCCAAGGAATCCCATGTAGGTGGGGGTCGAGCTACTTATCTCTAACCATTGCTTTCAATGAAGATATCCAACAGGAAAAAAAAAAAAAGAGAGATATGTCGCGTGGAGAACAATGAGTTTGGTATCTCATTGTGTTTATTGTTATTTTTTTTATGCTTGTTTAAAGCTAGTGCGACGCTTTCCCGGGACGGACAACTCAGGGGATTTCTGACAAATAGGATATAAAAATTGGATTTAGAGACAAAAGGGAGCTTAGTGCCTCAATAAATGACAACAAAATATTTTGGTAGGTAAATATTTGGGGGGGGGGGGGGGGCAATGACATTAATGGCGAGCGTTTTGCGTTTAGAGTACATATATAATCTATTGTATATACAATATTTTGAGACAGTATTTGACAATTTCACAAAAATCGTTTCAGTTGCCCATCGAAATCCAAAAACTCAGACTGTGATATTCGCACTACAATTTTGTTCATTGTTTCAGTGTATTTGTGACGGCAATTGCTGTGAGCCTGTTGCTGCTCAACACTTGCTTATGTGGGGAGTTTTCGCTTACCTTCACAATGGAAGTAAATGGTTCCTTGCCTCTGACTTTCGATTGATAATTTCAATATGTTCGAAGTAATATAAATGGCCGCCCTTTAAATGTGTCTTGATTATTACAATATAATATTCAATCCTAACCTCTCGAATCTTATATATATATATATATTTGTGAAAGGGTCTTCAGACTCATTTAGGACGCATAAAGTAAACTTTTCCCATTATGTTATAGTAGAAAGAATGATGTGCCTTAACCACAAGAAAGCAAAATTTTGAACTCACCGAAACTCAGTGATACTGTATCTGAGCTAATTTGAAAACTGAGAAGAAAAAGAAAACGTACTTTCAGTTAAAACAAGGTACATTCCAGGGAGACGTTAGACATTTTCGAAGTGCTTTTGGTCTAATAAATCCCAATATTTTATTCCCGGTTTTAGAGTGAAACTGTACGAACAAAATGTCAACACATAAAGAAGTAGCATTAACGCACCAAATCACATGCGTACAACGATGTAATGAAAGTGATAAAAAAAAAACTATAATGAGCAAATCTCCTCCGCGCCAGTTTCTTTCCCGACGAAAGAAACACCCAGAATTTGCATTTCTGCATACAAGATTCTCCCGCCGTCGCATACTGCAAATTCTTGCTCCCGGAGGGAGTGCTGAGAGTTTCCGCGGCCAAGCCAAGGCAAGCCAAATGCAGGCGAGACCAAGTCAAAGCCAAAGCTAGCCAACCTAAAGTTGAAATAAAAAAAGCGAGACACGTTTGGGATTTAAAGAGGGGCTTGGTTTTGTGGCCGAGTTTTAATGAGATGCTCATTAAGGTTTACCCATTTTATAAAGACGCCCCCCCCCCCCCCCCCCCCCCCCCACCCGCTTACCCTGCTCGACTACGTTCGTACTGGGGCTGCCCCTTTCCTTTGAATAGCGGCGGGCAGTTTGAAAGACGAATAGGTTAGTTTTCGTAGCGGCGAATAACCAAAAAAACGTTGGTGGGACGGCGGCGGTGGCGACGGGGTGGGAGATGTAAATGAGGAAGAAAAGGGAAAGGGGGGAGGGGGTTTCCTCGAGGAGTAATTTGAAAGGGAGAGCGCAGCCGGGAAAGGATACGAACTTTTGGTCGGAGCAGCGGACAGACTTCATAGGAAGTTTCCGAGTTCCACGTATGCAACTGGGATTACGGTGCAAACAAGAAAAGAAAGAACCTTGTTCTATGGCGCGTTTTTCTTGGTTTTCGGAGGCGCAGTGCCGTGCTGGGGTGTGTTTTGTAACAAGAAAAAATAAATAAAGGGCTAGTGATGACGTCACATGCAAGTCATGCATAGCAGCCAGAACAAGCGGCCACGTGATCCTGTGCCGATTATATATTCTGCGAATATTCATCTTCGCCAGCCACGGGAATCGACATTGCGCAGGGAACGCATGATTCGGTATTACTAGAGCTCGGCTATTGCCGTCGCCGCAGTGAGTAGACAGGAATCCCAGCCGGAATATACGCCGAGGCGGTGATTGTAATCGAGCCGCATTCGATGATCGTCGCGCCGCTCTGATCCCGGCCACAACGTTACCATCTGGAACTCCGATATTACATGTCAACTCGTCTTGCGAGGGAAGTACTGAAAAAAGTAAATCCTTATATGTTTTCAGTTATACCGCTGCAAATAAGTATCTGTCACAGTGGTAAGAAACCTTTCCCTCAGTGCCCAGAAAGTGTGTGAAGTGTATAACACTTGAACTCTACGTTGTTGCACGGCACTTTCAATTTCACGTACGGTCAATACGAGGACTGCGCAAATGAATAAAAATACAACTTCGATCCAGAAGAATACAAGGGCAACGATAAACTACAGGGTGTATGAGTCCTTGAATCCAAAACAACATTAGTGAGGCATATAGAGCGGACTCTTGGCTTTTCAATCAAACAACACGCAGGTATCTCGAAGCCTCGCTGTGCTGCAGGACGGAATGACGCGAGAAAGAGCTACGTAATCGCAATAGTAAGTAGCGCGATCTATATTTAAGTACGACCGACGATCCGATGAAGCAAATCGAGAAATGCTAAAGTGCATTATCACGGCGCTCCCCTTTTTTGTGCGTCTGCTTGCTATCGGCAGCTAAACTAGTCACGCACAGCAAATGAGCCTTGATTCTATGTTTGTTTGTTTTCCGTGGGTGATTGATTAGTGGGTGATTAGAAAATCACAAAGATGAGGAGTGGCGTGACGATGCACTTTTGGCGCTGCTTGATTGACTTCATCACTTCATCAGATCGTAGCGTCGACTGAGGTCGGATTCAAAGGCTGGTTCGCACTGCGGTATCCGACTACGACCGAGTAGTCCGTTGCAACAGTGTGAATCAGCACTAAGGCCCGTCCACACACTTGCGTTATCTTGAAGCCTGTTCAAATACTTGCAAACGAGAAGGACCGACTGAGACAAGGCTGGGTTTCAAGCCTCTTGCGACGGCTTAGGACCGGATGCGCTGATTCGGAGTTAGTCCTAAGCCATCGCAAGAGTCTTAAAAACCGGTCTTGTCTCAGTCGGTCCTACTCTGTTGCAGCTGTGTGAACTGGCCTTTGAGATCCGAGCTCTTGAGATTTCTTACAACAAGAGAGCACACCAGCACGCTAGTGCCATCTATGAGGTGACTCTGGAACTGCATTTTACCAGGGTCGGTTTTCTCGAACGCCAACCGCGGGTTAAAGCTTCCTATTGCCTCTAGAAGGGGGAATTTTAGGCCACGTGACCGGGGGGGAGACCAGGGGCGCCGAGGGAGAAGTAGTGTCCGCGACGTTGATTAAGTCTTATGATTCTAGTGAACATTTATTTCGATCCTGCTGTAATATTAACGACGCAACATCAACCTATTAGCACGTCAAGCAAGGGGGGAGTTCTGAGGCACTACTACACAAACTGACGGCGCACTTCGCGGATGCATAACTTTGACTGTCTATGAGCCTTACAATTATTTTTATGGCGAGTACAAAAATGTTTTGCCACAAGTATTGGTATAGACGCTTTACACACGCGCCAAATTACAGCCGCCATTGCTGACCTTCTCTTGTCTTACTGAGATGCCGAGCAACTGAAACGATAGTTGACGATCCTCTGCAAAGGCCGATGCTCTAAAAAAGGACAGAGTTGAATCTAATATGGCAATAACCTGGCCTGCTATGGTAATGATGAAGTGAAATAAACGGAATAAAAGGAAACAAAAACTGAAGGTCAGTTATGGCGGCGTCCATGCACAGCTGCTGCAAAGCATCTATGTATCTATACTGATACGTTTAATTTCGTGCGCTTGCACGTCAACCCGTGGGCAGTGATTACTTTGCGGCGAAAGGGGGTTATCAATGATAAAGTCTTTGTTCGGGGTGAGCAGCTGGTACATCTTCCTCTCATGTTCGCAGTGCGCGGACATCATCGAGGTTTCTACATATTCACGGTGGCCAGCAACACTGTGATGACGGTGTTGGTGACGGTGACGGTGGTCAACGGTGACGAGAAGCACAAGTTTACTCTGAAGCAGAGCCGCTGTGTCTGGTTCTGGCCGCCGACGATCGGTACATCCACCAACAAGAAAGGTTCAAGCGCAGTATTCGATTCAAGCTTGCCGATGTCGTCTGCAGAAGTCGGAGAAAAGAGAAATTAACAAATACTTGCCACAAAGAAAATTAACGAGATTTTCTTTTTGCGTGTCTTCTTTTCTTGTTTTAAAAGTAAATTTAGCGTTTAGAATTGTACTCTGTATAGTTATTACAATTTGTTTCTACTGCTTAAAGCTTATAAATGTCTTCAACTACAACATTCAAATTTTTTTATTTGTATTATTTATTTTATTTCAAAATATTGCAAATTATGACCCAAAATAATATCGTCAATACAAAAGTGGGGTCGATGTAACCTCCGCACATGCAAAGCCATTGGTACCCTTAAGAGCAAATACAGAAATCAGAACATAAACATCGTACACATTTCATAATAGGCTGTTAATTTTACAAATAAAGTCTCCTACCTCGAGCTCTCTAATACCCCTGTTACACGGGCACACTTAACCGCGGTTAACTCAGCTTAACTGCTGTTGCGCGGCACCACAGTTACCGCACTATACTCTCGGACAGCTATTTCAGAAGAAGTGAAGAGCGCGCGTGCACTGCTTTGCTAGATGCTCAAGATGCTGAAGTGCACGTTCGCCCATAGCTTTGACTGCATAGCCGCAGAATGTTGTCGGCAAGTATTGCGCGCTAACTGCGGCTTAGCCTAACTGCAGTTAAGTGTGCCCGTGTAACAAGGGTATAACACTAAAATACCATGCTATACACCATTCCAATATTTACCACTCTTCAGCCCAGCGTACGATCTCCTCGGCCCAGCACGCGCATGTTCGTCGCTTCGGAAAGTGGACAAATCACACGCCATACGCACCAAACACTCAAAATGGAACCGGCCAGGAGCCCTTTTTTGGAAAGGTCTATTCTCTGCTCCC